TTTTTTCACAAATTTTTTACTTTTTAGATACATTTAAGTAAGGTGCATCTAAAAAAGTAAAAAAAAATGTTTAAAATTTTAAAAATATTCACTAAAATTAAAAAAATATGAAAACTAAAAAACTGAGTTTCCAAAAAACTTAATTCAAAAAACTTTAATCGGATATGCTTAATCTGTAATACAAATTTAATGGTTGTAATTGTCAATTTGCTCGGTAAAGTTTTTTCATAAATATATTACTCTCTCTGTTTTAAAATATTAGTCATTTATTTTATTTTTTATTATCTCAAAATATTAGTTCATTTTCAAAAATTAAGAACAATAATAGTATGAATTTCTTATTTTGTCTTTCTTTTAAATTCATTAACAACATAAAAAGTAAAATTATGACAATTAATATTCTTTAAAAAATGTACTATCAAAGACTATTTTGAAAAATTATTTTTTTTAAAGTGCAATAATTATATTACAAATAAAATAAAATAAATAAATTTCTTAGAAAAGGCTATTATTTTGAGATAAAGGAGTATCTTAAATATCAAAGATTAACAATCAAATCAAACCTTCACGAATAATGTTATATATATTAATTAATGTACTAACTAGTATACTAACAGATCATGTGACATAATTTTAAAAGTTTTAAGTATTTGTAATTCATATACTAGGTGGGGTCAGTAACACTCTAAAATATTTTTCTAAAAAATAAATAATAAAAAATTATTAAAGACACCCAAAGGGTCAACTTTCTTTTTGGTCCATAAAAGCTTGCAAGCACCACGAGACACAGGAAGACAAAGATTAGCATTTTTAAGGGACTGTTTGTTTGTTCTTTAATTTAATTTTATTAATTACTTAATTAATTAATAATAGTGAGCGCATTTTCAACTGGAGCCTCTCTCTTTTTGGCCCACTTTTCCTAATTTCTCTTTTTTATTTTGTTGTCACAAGTTTAATAATTTATTATATTTACTAAATAGATCCTCTCTAAAATGAATTGAGACTAACTTAATTGATTATAATTGTTATATTTATTAGTTACGAATTTAAAAAAAGAAAAAATCATATACCGAAATTTTATACAAAAAATATCATTATTATTACCAATAAAATCTGTCATCATAATATTTTGTTTAAAGTGAAGACTTTATGATACAGTGAAAAATTTATGTTAAATTATATCATTCTATATAAAATATAAAAATTATTAAATAAATTTCTATTAATATGTCATAATTTAAAATATCCTTGTAATATTTTACAGCACAACTGTGATAGGCATAGCTTTTGAAATTCAAAATTTTGATTATATATTTAATATTAGCCAATTATGTAATTATTATTATTTTTTGTGCGTGTATTTTAAAATAGTTAAGTTAAACAACTTAACATCTCCTCTACTAAACAATTTTAAAAAGATAGAACCAGCTTGGTTCCAGTAAGAAATTTTTTTGGGTTAATTATAATTTTTCATTAAAGATTTTACAGATTTTTCACTTTAAATCCTATTGTTTCAATTTTGAAAAATTAAGGTTGCATTTGGTAGAATTTTGTAAATATGATTTGAGAGTATGAGTTGTATTTTGAGTTTGTGAGTTGTAGAATTATGATTTGAGTTTAGAAAATTTGTTTGGTTATGATTTTTTAATAGAGTTTTGAATTGAGTGTGGAATTGAATTTTGAAAATTTGACTTGACATGTGAAGTAAGAAAATTTGTTTGGTTATGAGTTTTGAAATAAATATTGAAAATAATTTAAAATGTTATAATTTAAAATAATTTAAAATAATTCAAAAAAGTTTTCAAAACTTAATTCAAATTGTTATAACTCATAACAAAACACACTACTTTCACACTATTGAAAATTCTGATCAACAATCATAACCAAACTCTTTTTAAAATTCAATTAAAAAAATTTATTATTAACAGAAAATAACAATAATCAATTTTTTAATTAAAAATACTACAAAGGAAATAATTTTTTTTCAAAATAAATATTCAAAAAATTTAAATCATAAATATTTAAATAATTTAAATAATCTAAAAAATTTAATAAGTAAAAAATTAAAATAAATATTCAAAAAATTTAAATCGTAAAAATTTAAATAATTTAAATAATCTAAAAAATTTAATAAGTAAAAAATTAAAATAAATATTCAAAAAATTTAAATCATAAATATTTAAATAATTTAAAAACAACTCTACACTAAATCGTAACCAAACACATAAAACAAAATCAATTAAGAAATTATTTTCAAAACTCATAACCAAACATAACTTGAAATTCCATACTACTTTCACAACTCTACACTCAAATCGTAACAAAACTAACAAAAAAATTAAAAATATTTAAAATAATCTTTATAAATAGAGTTTGAATTTGTTTTTAAAATATTTTAAAATTTAAAAATTAAAATCATAATATTTTGAAATTAAAATATTTAAAAATATTCAAAAAATTAAAAAAATCGTAACATATTTAAATATTAAAATATTTAAAATCTTAACAAAATTAAAATATTTTTAAAATATTTAAATATTTAAAAAATTAAAATATTGATTTGAATTGAGATTTGAAAAGAGTTTTGAATTATGTGTTTGGTTATAAGTTTTGAAAAGTAATAATTATGTTTTGAATTGTGTTTTGAGAAATGTATATAGAATTATGATTTGAAAGCTTAAAACGAACAACACACTCAAATCAATGAGCGGAACTATAATTTGAAAAGTTTACCAAACATAGCCTAAATCTTAAAGTTTCATTTGTATTTCAATATGACCCCTCTATTCATCTCCATTTATGTAAAGTAACGGAGAGAGTTTAAAATAAAAAATATATGAAATCTTGAGATTTTTTGTGCAATTAACCATTAAAAAAAATTAAAATCACTAAAATTAAACTTCAATATTTTACGTATTTTTCACTTTAAACTCTAACATGTACTTTAAACACCCTTGGTTACCTTGCAGAATGGAGATGGACGGAGAGGACCCATTTAAACATGAATAGAATTTTATGGTTTAATTTATCGAAATTAAAACACTAGAGTTTAAAGTAAAATGCGTGAAAATTTGAAGTTTTTTTGTTTTTTGTAATTAATCTATTTATTTTATTATATAAAATTTATAAGTTTATTTTAAGGGGGAATTGGCTAGTAAATTTCAATTTATCATCTAATTTATTAATAACAAATACTATAAAAATATTAATTAATAAAATGAAAAATAATTAGTTTATAATTTTCGTACCCCATACTTTTACGGAAAAAGAAAAAAGAAAAAAAAAAAAACTGATTTAAATTAATTTGTTTGAGAGAGTGAGAGTGAGAGTGAGAATTCTCTGCTGGATCAATGGATTCCATGGACTTGACGACGGCGAAGAGACCAAACCCTCTTCTCCGGCGCAGAAACTCAATCGCCACCTCCGCCCTCGTCCCCTCCACCCTCACCCTCCCAACAAAACCCCTCCACGCCGCCAGCTTCCCCACCGTCGCCGCCGCCGCCGCTTCCGCCGCCTCCACCTCATCATCATCATCATCCAATTCATCATCACAACCCTTCCAATCGATCATGGATTTCGAGCTCATCTTCATCAAACCCCTCTCCTACACCTCCCTCAAGGACCTCCTCCCCTCCTCCGCCGTGAATTCCCCTACCTCCTCCGCCCCTGCCCAGTCCGGCTACGAGATCTCCATCCGCAACCGCCTCGTCAAACAGGCCGCCTGGGCCTACCTCCAGCCCATGTCCACCTCGCCTGGCTCCGGCGGCCGCCACTTCCTCTGCCGCCTCCGCTCCAAAATCTCCTCCCACCTCCTCAACAATCCCTTCACCTTCTTCCTCCGCTTCCTCTCCCGTTCCATATCCCGAGCCTTCGATCACCTCCTCCGATCTGTTAGTATATTATTATACTTTAGCATTGTTTATTATTCTTTAAGCATTGTATACGTTAGTTGTTATTATTATGTTTGTTAGCTTTATACTTTCGGCTAGCTTTAGCCTTTCGGTGCCTCGCGTCTCGCATGCCTCGCATCCAATGACAGGCTATAAATGAGATCCAAAATCTCCTCCCACCTCCTCAACAATCCCTTCACCTTCTTCCTCCGCTTCCTCTCCCGTTCCATATCCCGAGCCTTCGATCACCTCCTCCGATCCATTCGGAGCTTCAAATAACACTCCAAACCTAATGCTAGGGTTGTTGTGTATTTGTTATGTATATTTATTTTCAATCATATGTGCACATATAACGCCAAACCTAACGGTATCAATAACAACCTGCTATTTGTTATCTATATTAATCTGCAATTATTCAAAACTTTTTCTTTTTTGTTTTAATTTTTCATTAATTTCAAGTTCTCTCCATATATAGAAAACAAATTACATGGGGTACAAAAAGCTAATTGAATTTGAGTGTGTTTTTTTTTAATGGAATCCTTTGGACCGGCAGAGTCGGAGCCGGGCGGCGTGTAGCTGATTGTCGACACCGGTTTCTTTTTCATCGGTTGAACTGGGTTCCCTACCGGAGCTCGGTTCGGGTTCCTCTTGAGTAGTAGTGTGTATGAATTCTGCTTGGCTGTGGAGGTGAACTTGACCTGCCTCTGATTTGGGTGAATTGGCCACGAACCGGTGGTGATTTGCAGTGCCAAGAGATGTAGGAGGTAGTAGTGGCCGCCCCCTCTTGGAGGATGGGTGCCTGTGCTTGTTAGCCATACGGTGGTGAAATGCTGGTGATCCAGTCGGAGAGGATGGAGGAGCTGCTGCCGTTGGGTATGGGTTTTCATTCTTATGCTGCTGCTGCTGCAACATAGGCTGGTTAAGCTTATTTGTTATATTGAATTTTGAAACATATGAAGGTGAAATTAGTGAACCATTTTCTAATATATAGAGTAAATCGATTTGTGTGTAGTACAATGCATTCTTGTTAATGCAATTGTGTCTTTGAATGAATGAATGACAATTTTCCTACAATTGCTTGTCCATGACATTATGATTTGTTAGCTACATTAAGGTGCTAATGGTACAGGTGCTTGTTTTCTTTACTTTGTGATTAGGGCTCGAGTTCCATGGTTGTCGTGTTTGGTTTTGGTTTTGGTTTTGTTTTTGTTTTATGTTTTCATTTTCCCAGAGGCACAAGTAAAAATTGTTTGACAAACTTTCCGAAAATAGCTTCTGCAAAAATTGTTAGAAAACAACCCACTTTTTAGGAAATATATCAAAAAGTTGTTTTGAATTTTTGAAAGTGTTTGTTGCATAAAAATGAAAAGGATGGATGTTTTGAACTTTTCACTGTTTTTATTTCTGAAAACATGAAAACGAAACACATAGGTGCCGTTTAGTAACACTTACGTTTTTAGTTTTCTGTTTATATTTATAAAAATTTTAAAAAACTCTAATAAAAGCTTGTTTGGTAAAATGTTTGATTTATAAATCAGTGGTCTCAGTTTATAAATTTGGCTAAAAAATAAAAACACAAAAAATGTGTTTCCGTTTTGAATTTTGAGTTTTTTTTTTTTTACCACCCAACACTAGCCACCACCTGTCACAATTTTCCCCCCCCCCCCCCCCCCCCCCCCCCCCCCCCCCCCCCCCCCCCCCCCCCCCCCCCCCCCCCCCCCCCCCCCCCCCCCCCCCCCCCCCCCCCCCCCCCCCCCCCCCCCCCCCCCCCCCCCCCCCCCCCCCCCCCCCCCCCCCCCCCCCCCCCCCCCCCCCCCCCCCCCCCCCCCCCCCCCCCCCCCCCCCCCCCCCCCCCCCCCCCCCCCCCCCCCCCCCCCCCCCCCCCCCCCCCCCCCCCCCCCCCCCCCCCCCCCCCCCCCCCCCCCCCCCCCCCCCCCCCCCCCCCCCCCCCCCCCCCCCCCCCCCCCCCCCCCCCCCCCCCCCCCCCCCCCCCCCCCCCCCCCCCCCCCCCCCCCCCCCCCCCCCCCCCCCCCCCCCCCCCCCCCCCCCCCCCCCCCCCCCCCCCCCCCTCCCCCCCCCCCCCCCCCCCCCCCGCCACTGTCCCCCACCCCCCCCCCCCCCCCACCCGCCACCTACCCGCCACCACCCACCACCACCAGCTACCCACCACCCACCATCACCACTTTCCACCACCGTCTTCCGCTGCCGCTTGTCACCACTTGCCATTTCTCACTTTTTTTTTTTATATATTTTTAAATTTTTTAAAACATTTTGCCAATTACCAAACGCGTTTGTAGTGTATGTTAAACAAACAATAAACAAAAATCAGTTTATAAAATTTTTGTAAATATAAACTGAAAACGTAAATATTACCAAACACACTTTTATGTCTAGGTATCACAAACCATCTTCCCATAAACACTTCATTGTCACAAATCTCTGCAATTCAAAATCTGTTTGCCCAAATGGTGAATGGTGAAATTTTGTGATAGGGTTAATAGAAATTAAGAAAGAAAGTAGGAACAGTTTAGAAATGTTGTCAATAGCAGTTCTTGCTTAGATTTTTCAACCTGTCAAATGTAACAGTATAGTATTTTAAAAATATTATCCAAACCATGCATAATTGGAAGCTCAAAGCTCAAACTTGTTATTTACAGAAGTGGTGTGGTTTGGATTTGAAACTACAAGTGTGTCTATACATGTTATGCCTAATTGTTCATGGAACAGATCGTTTCTTTGCTTTGAGGGTGGGATGATATAAGGCTCACAAAGCTATGAACCCTAGATAATAACATGGGACCAATAGCCTTGTGAGTGACTCTGTCATATTCTGTGTTCTATTTCTGTGCGCATAGTAAGGAGTGGTTTGGAATGTCCTAAAAAAGTGCACTTTTTGACTTATTGGTGGGTTTGGGTTGGGTTTGATGTGATGTGTTAGAGAGGTGATGTGATTTAAATAAGATGATGTGACTTAAATAAGATAGTGACTTTTTGACTTTTTTTAGTACATGCCAAACTAGCCCTAAGACTCGATAGCTAACCCGTTGGAAGCTTTACCTCATCGTTGGGTTTTGTTGTTGTAATCTTTCCAGACTGAGCAGCCATGTACTGAAGAGCTTGGATGAATGTTGATTGCCCTATTTTTGTGCAGTTTTGCCAGTAGTAAGTAGCCACGTCCCATGCCCTGGCCCTCAGCTCCTGCAATTTCCGGTCAATCTCTGTCTCATGCTTTGATATGTATGGCCGCAGGAAAGTTTTGTAGATATAGCTGGTTCCCTGCATTATTAACCACCACAAAATTATTTCTTTTAGCACATCATAATCATGTTTGGCGATGCCCGGTTTGGTGATGCGATTAATTGTCCCTTTCTTTCTTTCTTTCTTTTTTTTACCTTGGTCTTTGGGTACCACAGGTAGATAAACATGGCAAGCTTTATCTCACCATACATTGGCAACCTTCAAAAGCATTAAAACAAAGCTTTATATTTCAACATGAGAAATGGATACAAGCAAAGATTGAGAAAAACTGTGTATATACCACGAAATGAATATATCTCCGATTCTCTCAAAGACTGTAAACACTGCCACAATTATCCTGCAAAATTCATAAACAATAGCTGATTAAAAAACCTGTTGAATTGCAAAAAAATTATCTTTTTTTTTTTTTTTTGGGGGGGGGGGGGGGGGGGTTTGAAGGGGTATTTATTCTTTTTCCTCTGTTTTTTGTTTTTTTAAAGGGAATTTATCATGAGGGATTGGAAGAGAAGAGACCCTTCATTTGATTCATTTTTGGAATCATCTACACTAGAAATCCACATATTCATGACAATTCATGCCGATCTACAAGTTCTCGAAAACCTGTTGAATCAAAAACTAGTTTTTTGTTCTGGGTATTTATTCTGTCTCTGTTTTATCTATTTTTTGATTGGGAAATGATCACATCAATAAGTTGAAGAACAGTTGGAAATGAAGAGACTCTTCGATTGATTTGTTTTTAGAACCAACTAGAAATCAACAAATTCATGGCATTTTATTTCATTTCAATTTTTTCTTGAAACTTCTTTCACATCCATTAATTCTTGCTCATAAGTTCACGCATTGAAGAGTATGAATCGCCATCATCGCTAATTTTTCATACATATTCAATTGTTTTGGATTATTTATTCACCCTTTGAATTATCACCAGCTATTTTTATTCGATGACCATGTCGTTATTGTTGAAAGCTGAAAATGATCCTATTATTATTATTGACTATAAACAAACTATATTTAGTTTTCAGGTTTTGTATTTACAAAAAATTGCTTAGGTAAAAGTGAGAGGGGTAACCATGCCAAAGTTTTAAAAAATAAAATTTGATTAGCTTGTACCACACTAGACATTTTAAAAAGACTAGCACCAACAATTTCACAAAACATATTTGAGTCAACTTCAATTGCAATTCTGTTCTTACCAATATTGACACCAAAATCGAAGCTCTTCGATCTCAACTCTGTTCTTCTCAACTGTTTTGAAACACTCAAACGCAGGGTAAGCATATCCAAGGACCAGACTGCCAATCAAACATGTAAGAATCTTCCTTTAATTAGGTCAATAATCCAAGAATATTCATTTAAGAAAAAAAAAAGAAAAAAGAAAAAGAAAAAGCAAGGAATCAAAGAGTGGTAGAAAAGAATGATCGGTTGATAACATACACAAGTCCTCTGGTGAAAAAATCCCCTAACATCCTTAATTCCTATCTCTCAATGTTTGCCAATATTCCTAAGCAACCAAATAAATCATCATATATATATACACAAATACAAATGAAAAACAAATACATCAATTTTTACAAAGTTGACATTTAAATATTCAAATGGATTGGAAAAAAATATCAAGAAGAATATAAATAATTTGAAAATTTGAATTTGAAAACCCAAAAATAGTTGAATCATACTTGTGAAAAGCAAAAACAAAACAAAACAAAACAAAACCCAATAAGCAATTGTGCCGAAGACTCGTGATCCCTTTATGCAAAGATCAAACGGTTGAAAACAGGGGTATTTGACGGATTCAAAGACTACATTCGAATGAAAGTATCAAAAACAGTTTTCAAGAAAAGAAACAGAGAGAAATGGGGTTTGAGATTAGTTCCTTTCAAAGAAATGTAATTGAATTCACCATGTAAATCTAGTGTTCCTGTATGTACATATAATTTACAGTTCCAATTTATTTGTTATTCTTTGTTTTGGTTTCTCACCGATCATAATTAGGTGTTACGCAATTCCTAACCCATGTTGCCTTCACCATCTTCCATGGCCTTTTTTATTTTTTTATTTTGGTATGAAGAAAGAGAGGATAAAAAAGTACATATATTCTGCTTGGTTAAGTTCTCAGAATCTGTTTTTAAACTTTTTTTTTAAAAAAAATTACAAATTAGTTTGACAAAAATAAACACACAAAAAGAATATATTTTTGAATTTTCTAAAATTGACTTTGTCCCCCCAAAGTAAAAAATCGTATGAAAACATTTTTTCATTAATATTTACCAAACTAATTTTTTAAAAACTTTCTGCAATAAATTCAGAAAACTTATCCGAACAAATTTTGTGAGTGCAAATTGAAGGAGCAATTTTCTATCATCATTTACTAAGAAAAATAATAATATATATTGTTTCTGTGGTGCATGCATGCAATTCACAAAACCAATTTGAAGTTAGGCAACTTCAACAGCATTTTAAAGACTTTTGAAACCTTAATTAGCAATTGTTATTCTCCACAAACACTACTCTTCATAACAAAATTGATCAATCAACTTCACTTCCAAACAAGATAGATTTTCCTCATCTTAGCTCAAGTTAGTACATTGGTCTATTTAAGAAAACAAATGGTATTACCGAAATTAATTAAATAAGAAATAAACAAATAACACAATGTCATCAAAATGGTCATGAAGACAATCCTTGGTGTAATTATGTATTGGAGTGGATATGATTTGAACATGACTAGTGACCATGGAATAGTATCCTAATGATTCTAACCTAACCTCAAAGACCTTTGATTTCATAAATGGATAGTATTATTTATACTATCTTACATGTACATTAGTCGTTTTACATCATTTCAAATTCAAATATTTATATATATATAATATTTATTAGGGTATGCCTTGTATTTTGTAAGTTGAATATAGTTATCAATTTTTTTAGGCCACTCAGGTCCATTTTTGAAACTCACGAGCCTCTGGGCCCAATCTTAAATTTTTTGAGGCCAAAATGATATAATTTGTCTTAAAAAGACACTTATATTTTCAAACATTACTTGTTTATCTCACTTATTTGTTCAAAAGTCCCACTATCTACCCGCATTTGGGTGAATGGAAACAAAATGAGAAATACCCAGAAAATTGAGATGAGATTAAAGAAGCAACAAATACATCTATCTAACAGAATTTCATAAAATAATATTCTAATTTTAAAAAAAAAATTATTAAAATATAAAACTTAAACACATCAAAATAATAACGCTATGCTTTGAACCTTGCATTTCAAACTAGTCTATATCTATACTATTATTAAAAGCCAACAGGAGTTGTGGTGTCCTGAAGCCTCTCTAAATTTTTTTTTTGTATTTTTCCTAAAATGACCTTAACAATTATGTTATTTTTACACTAATATCAATTTATAACTAAGGGTAATATCATAAATTCAAACCAACCAATTCCACCACCCACGTTCCCAAACTGCACAGCAGTTTTAAATCAGTTAATTTTGCTTTGAATTGAAATCAGTTAATTTTGCTTTGAATTGATGAAGTAGAGATTGGAGAATGAAAGACTTCATCAACAGTGGAGATTTCATCAACATTCCTACATATATCTATCTTATCCTCAACGACGATTTAGATCGCTTCACAGTCTCTCTGAATTTGTCTCTGAATGGACGGTCTGATCAAGGGCTTGATCGATGTGGCACTGGGTCACAACGACGACAGAGACGAAGAAAGAAACTCTGAGTCTCGCGAAGATCGGTCCAGATCCACTTGGGCAGAGGTTAGCTTCGGCTTCAATATGTTGATGTTATTATATAGGTTGTGAATGTGGTGATGATTCTGTGATATATAATGCGCAGGTGGTGTCTGGGGAGCAGGATAACGACGAACCGAGCGGTGATCGTGGTCACGATCGTAATCAGTGGAATAGAGAGGTTTGGTTTTCTTGGTGTGGTGAAATTGAGAATTGTGATGAAATTTTGCTTCTGATATCTGAGATTGCTTTCAGTAAATCAAATGATCAAAAAACAGTGCTTCTATTCAATTTTGTAGAATGTTTTTGACAGTATACTTGAATCACATCTCTCTGGTATACTGTTTTTTGTGTTTGTATAATGAAAACAATAAGTTGCAGTGAAGGGGGGGGATTGTTTTGTTTCATCTTTACACCAGTACAATGGAGTTCCTGAGGAAGAAAAGAAAAGAGATTTGATTTGGTGTGGTTCACTCTATGATAGGATTGCAAATAGATGGTACTGATAAAAAAATGGTTGGTTTGGTTGATTAATGTTTTCAATCAAGTAAGGATGTTTGTTTGCTTAATTTCATGTTTTCATTTCATTTTATTTTTTAATTTCGAAGCAATTTTTATTTTGACGATCTAACGTATGTGGTGCGACCGGTTACTATTCTAGACCGAGATGTAAAGCAGTTGTGGCGCAAGAAATTGAACTTGGTGAAAGTGCAATGGAGTGAGGATGAGAACGATATCACTTGGGAATTAGAAGAGAAAGTTCGGCTTATGCACCTGGAATTTTTTGCTTAGCACTCTCTTCTATCAAATCTCGGGACGAGATTCTTTTGAGGTGTGTATATTGTAGCGACACTAATTTTTCGTAAGTCATTATTAATTATTATTATGATTATTATTACTTTATTTTATTTTTGGCTTTATTAATTGTGTGGTTACATGAGAATTTAATGTGTTATTTAGTTAATTTAATGTGTTAGTTAATTATATATAATAAATTCAAATATTTATATATATATATATAATATTTATTAGGGTATGCCTTGTATTTTGTAAGTTGCATATAGTTATCAATTTTTTTAGGCCACTGAGGTCCATTTTTGAAACTTTCGAGCCTCTTGGCCCAATCTTAAATTTTTTGAGGCCAAAATGATATAATTTGTCTAAAAAGACACTTATATTTTCAAACATTACTTGTTTATCTCACTTATTTGTTCAAAAGTCCCACTATCTGCCTGTATTTGGGTGAATGGAAACAAAATGAGAAACACCCGGAAAATTGAGATGAGATTAAAGAAGCAACAAATAAATCTATCTAACAGAACAGTTTCAGACATTAAGAAATTATATATATATATATATATAATATCCATAGCAAAGACTGATTAGCGAAAGGATTGAATTATTGGGTAGATGACCACTGTAATTGCTCTGAGCTCAGAAAAAAATTACATACATATATAAACCTTTTGGTCATCTAGATTGAGAGAGCGAGATGGATTGAGAGACCGAGAGAAAAAGGGAGATGGAGAATCCGACAGAAAGAGAAAGAGAGAGAAAATTTGGCGGAAATTTTGGGGAAAATGAATTGAGAAAGCGAGAAAGAAGACGGACTGAGAAACCGAGAGAAAGAAAAATCCATACCTGTGAACCAGCGAGCGCGAGCGCGAGAGAGGGAAAATTTGGCGGAAATTTTGGGGAAAATGAATTGCTCTGTTCTTTGTGAAAAAATCACTCTATTAGGATCAAAGTTTCAATTTATATAGATTAGGATCAAAGGAGAGAGAGGAAGAGAGAGAGATCTCTGAGGAGAGAGATTGAGACCGGATCAGTTGGAGAGAAAGAACTTCCCACATTTTATAACTTCCCATGTTCAATAACTGCTTTCAACTTCCATCTTTTTTGTTTTTATACGCATGTATCCATCTATTAATCATATATATTATGAGGTGTTTGGGAAGGTTTTCTTTTTTTGGTTAAAAAATATAGTGGAAGACAAAATTAGTTAAAAAATCAAAAAAAAAAAAAAAATTTAGACAAAATGTCATATCAAATCTATAATCGTTTTACTTTTTCTCTCACAGACATCACATTCAATTACAAAAAAACTCAATTATATTTCTAAATACAAAAATTTTAACCTCCTAAAATAATTAAAAATCTATTAAAACAACAATTTCCCAAACACCCGCTATATATTCTAAATTACTGATTTGTGGTGGGAGTTCGTATCCAAGGGAATGAGATTATCAAGTTTAGGCTGTTTAATGCAATTGTTTGCTTTAAATTTTGCCACTATATATATTGCCACTATATATTCTAAATTACTGTTTGCTTTAAATTTCTTTGTATCATGTATGTCTGAGAAATTTTTGTACGGCTTATATATATACATCACATTGTAAATTGAAAATTCGTAGTTTTGTTTATTTTGGATTCAAGTTAATGTATACAGTGGCGGAGCTAGGATTTTGGCTCAGAAGGGACACCTTTGAATTAAAATCTTAACAAAACTCATAATTTAACTTAATCTTTATTTGATGGCAGGACTAAAAAGTAGTGCAATGCAAAAGTTATATTTAAATATAAGACCAAGTTAATTAATCATTATCTTTATTGTTATGAATTTATTTTATATATGATGATCATCATGGTTTAAAAAATAATTACATATATCCTCATAAAATATGAGAACAAAATTATATTAAGATGCACACATACACATAAAGAGATATAGTGAAGATAGAGAAAGAAATGAGAAAAAGATGAATAAATAATATACAGAGGCTATTATATATTACTTGTTTTTTTTACCGTTTTGAATAATTAAATTACATGGCAATATATTATTAGTTGTCATTAATTGTGCAATAATTATGTGCCGTATAAGAGGTGATATAAAACAATGACAAAATATCAGTGATATATAACATTTCTCTACTATAAAATTTATAATATTTTTTTTAGCATAATTAAACATTTAAAGTGATAAATTAAACATTTTTTTATAAAAAAAAAAGAGTAAAGAAAATAGTGATATAAAAATTTCAAGATATTACTTGGATTAAATTGAAATATATATTTTTATTAGAGGCAAAAGAATAATTTCCCAAAAGTTGAGGGGGAGGGGGGGGCACGTGATCTCACTGGGCCTCACGTGCCTCCGCCCCTGAATGTATACAACAATTTTATATATAATTATGTACATCATTTGTGTTTTGATGCAATTGTTTGGGTTTGATTTATTTGTTTGTTGTTTTAATAGTGTTTAGCTTCTTTGGGGGGAAAAAAAATATAGCATAAAAAATATTCAGTATTCATAGAATTTATTTCTTTAAATTTTTTTTACTGTAAGTATATATCAAATCTCTTTATCACTAAGTGTTTTGTATAATATGATTCATTATAATTTTTATTCTCCTCATTAATAGTGTTCAGGTTCTTTGGGGAAAATAGTATAAAAAATAATCAATGTTTGTAAAATTTATTATTTAAAATTTGTTTTAATTTTTTTAAACTGTTAATTGTATATTAAATCTCTTTATCTGTAAGTGTTTTAAGAATCATTGGCGTCATTGGTTTGTTAAAAAAAAGCATTTTAAAATTTTCTGGATGTGTTTAAAAAATTTGGTGTTCTTCAGTGTTCTTAAATTCTACATAACTGTAAGTGTTCTGAAGAGTCTTCAATTTGTATTTTTGTATTTTTTTTTGTGTATTACTGTTAATTATACTTTTCATAGAAAATAAAAAGATCCATTATGTTACTAGGTTCCTTTGGGGAAAAAGAAAAAGTATAAGTTTATATTCAAATTTTTTTTTATATATATAAAAAATTGCAAAGTATAAAATGTGTAGGTTTTTTTTTGTTTTTTTTTTTTTTTTCACAGTTAACTTTTTAAAGCTTTTTTTGTTTTGTTTTGTTTTGTTTTTTTGTTTTTGTATAAATTCAGGTTTTAAAAATTGGATTTGTTTGTTCACTTAATTTTGTGCGTATGTTATTTAAAATAAAATCCAGTGCTCTTAAAAAAATAATATAAAATGAGTGTCTTGAGTTTTTATTTTTGTATTTTTTTTTGGTGTAATATTGTTAGTTATACTTTCTATGTAAAAAAAAAAATTACAAAATAAAATGTTTCATTGTGTTATTAGGGTTAAAAAAGTCAATTATTATTTTTCTTGGTTTATATCAACATTTGTATTCGTGCATTTATAATTTATGCTTTCAAAAAATAGGTTTGTTTATTTGCGTAATTTTGTGTGTGTTTTTTAAAAACAATTCAATATTCATAAAATTTGTTTTATTTAAAAAAATAATAGTCTTATTTTTTTAACAAAAATGTTTTGGGGTTTTTTTAATTATTTATATTAATAGTTAATTATTTTTTTTGTGAATATCAAATCTTGTGAGTGTTCCAAGAGTATGGGTTTGTGTTTTGGTATTTTGTGTGTACCATTATCAATTACATTTTTTTATTTTCTTCATTAAAAAGTAAAAGAAAAAAAAAACTATGTTATTAGATTTCTTGGAGAAAAAATTGACTTTCCTTTGTTTATATTTTTTGCAAGTTACTTTTTGACTTTGTGTTATTCAGAATAAACAATTTCTCTGTTGATTTTTTATCGACACCTATTCGCTTTGACTGTAAATATTCTATATGAGTGTTGGGTTTGTAATGTTTGAAACTTGAATAATTATAAAATAATTCTGTTTGGGCTTTAACAAATATGTAATTTGTTTTTCTAAGCTTAAAAAAATCAAATTTATAATTTTTTTTAATGAGTTTGTGATGGTCAGAACAAGTAACTTCTATAGATGTGTTTTAAATTTTGTGGGTGTGTGTAAAACATTTAGTGTTCTTCAGTATTAAGTGTTTTGAGAGTCTTGAATTTGTATTTTTGTATTTTTTGGTGTATTACTGTTAATTATACTTTTTATAGAAAATAAAAAAATCCATTATGTTATATCAAGTTCATTTGGGAAAAAAAAAAACTTATATTGTAAGTTTATATTCATTTTTTAAAAAATATATATTTAAAAAACTGTGAAGCATAAAATGTGTGTAATTGTTTAAACTTAGACTTAAAAAGTTTGGGATTTTTTTTTTCCATTTGATTTGGATTATGTTAGTCTATGTCAAAATGTAATTTTTTTTTATTTTTTAGTTTCATTTATAAAAAACTTAAATAATATTTACATTTTGTGCCTTTATATATAATAAGCCAATTAGAAAACCAAAATTATTATTGTACTCTATTAGTCAAAGTACGCATGTGCACAATTGTGGCTCACTTTAACAACGTAAAATTCTAATTTAATTAATGTGCATTGTTTGTAAATTAATTTTTACATGTATCTTATATATTTTTTGGAAAATTTGTAAGATCTTCAGTCTTATCTTACCGGATTGAGATTTTATATGAATTTTTGTTGTAGAGTTTTCTTTAGTTAAGATTAGTAAATATTAGATTAAAAAAAAAATGGAACAAATTTTAACATACATATATTTTATTTATCAAATATCTTAATATCAAA